AAAAAAAAAAAAAAAAAAAGAAATAGAGACAAAGCAGCTGGCTTCAGATACTTAAAAAGACTATATTTGTTTTACACTTATTGCTCCAGAGGGCAAATCAAGACTAATAACTAAAAGTTACAGGGAGACTGGCATAGGCTCAAAGTAGGGAACTGCTCCCAAATTGCATAGGGTTACTTTGTAAAGTAGTGAACTCATTGTCATTAGTAATATTCAAGCACAATGTGAGTGCCCCACTTGCCACGATGTTTTAGAATAAGTCCCTGCATTAGGGAAGGGGTTATACTACGTATTTCCTCCCAGGCTTCTTCTAACCCTGAGTTCTCATGGTTCTCTGACCTGGCTGTAGAGAGCCAGGGCAAGCATGGGTTCCCAAGACAGAATCACCCTAACTTTGGTGCCCCCTCCAGCCTCTAGCAGCCATGATGGAGGAGGAGCCAGAATCTGCCAGACCAGAAGAAGGCAAACCCCAGAATGGTAAGTTGTCACTCAGCCACAGAGATGGAGTAGGACCAGGGGTTCAGCTGTGGCACAGGGTGGGGGAGCAAAGGCAGGCCAGGCCCCTTTACAGATAGGTTAAAAGAATGGGGCAGTGCCTGTGGCTCAAAAGGTGGTGGGTTCAGACCCAGCCCCGTCCAAAAAAATAAAATAAATAAATAAAAAAGAATGAGGACTACCACGTAGGATCTAGTTATTTTGTTGGTGTTTTCCATCCCAGGAAACCCTGAAGGAGATAAGAAGGCTGAGAAGAAGACAATTGATGACAAAGTGAGAATCCTTTCTCCCCACAAGGACCCCAGTCCTCTCCCCAACCTAGGTCTGACACCACTCATAGCCTCTGCAGAAGCTGACACTTACTTCCAGTACACACCCACAGCCAACAAGCTCCTCTCAGTTCAAGGCTCTGGAGGAGAGTTGGTTGTAGTGTGTCTGGAGACTGCCTCTGCCATGGACTCCAGTCCCTCAATGGAGGGCAGAGGAGCCCTAAGACTAATCACCACTTTTCATCCTCAGCACAAGCAACCTGGCTTCCAGCAGTCTCATTATTTTGTGGCTCTCTATCGCTTCAAAGCTCTAGAGAAGGACGATCTGGATTTTCCGTGAGAGGCCTAGGGATGGGGATGGGATGGGAGTATTGTGAAGTAAGAAGGGTGAACCCGGCTCCCTATGGGAAAAGAAAAGGGGGAGACTCAGGACTTGGAGCCTATTGGGTTTAGGCCTGGGGCACAGCTAGGTCCTAGTGAGTGAGATCCCTCCATTCCTCTCCCAGGCCCGGAGAGAAGATCACAGTCATTGATGACTCCAATGAGGAGTGGTGGCGGGTAAGACAGATGGCTGGGGCAAGGTGGAATATGAGTTGAGTCTGAAACCTGAGATTGAGAAATTGATTCTCCCTATTTTTCCTAGGGGAAAATCGGGGAGAAGGTCGGATTTTTCCCTCCCAATTTTATCATTCGGGTCCGGGCTGGAGAACGCGTGCACCGCGTAACGAGATCCTTCGTGGGGAACCGCGAGATAGGGCAGATCACACTCAAGAAAGATCAGGTAGCTCTGGTGCCCCAGCCCAGGGGCTGGCTCGTCAGCTGGCCACATTCCTTGGAGATCTTACCCCTTAATGAGGCGAAGATGAACCTCTCCAACCCATTTACCTGCTCTCCTTTGCCTTTCCCCTTGATTCTTCTCCTACCCACTAATCCTTTAATCCTCAGATCGTGGTGCAGAAAGGAGACGAAGCTGGCGGCTACGTCAAGGTCTACACCGGCCGCAAGGTGGGGCTGTTCCCCGTGGACTTCCTGGAGGAGATTTAGGCGCGCGCTTGATGGCAGGAGACACCCACGTCCCCATTCTGGGCGGGCCCAGTGGAGCTTGGGGAGGAAAAGGCAACAGCCGGGTAGACAGGGGCTGGAAGGCCCGCCAGAGCCTAACCCGCTTCTGCGTAGGGGCTGGTTTCCCGCCCCTTCCCGGCCTAGGGCCTGGGGCACTGACGCCCGGAGCAGCCGCACCCGGCCCTCGGACCTAGCCTTCAGAGCTAGAAAAAGAAAATATCTCCCTGGGGGTGGAGGGGTGGAGGCACTAACTGTCGAATGTTTCCAATTTACTAAAGTTTTGACAAAAGTTAGAAAAGTTGTTCTTTCAGTTTTTGTTTTTCTGGGTTTTGAGACAAAATCTCGTCTGTCACCCAGGATAGAGTGCAATGGTGCGATCGTAATAGCTCACTGTAACCTTGAACTCTTGGGCTCAGGGATCAGGCGACCCTCCCGTGTAGCTAGGACTACAGACAAAGGCCACCTTTCTCTGTTAATTTTTTTTTTTTTAATGTAGAGACTGGGTCTGGCTACGTTGCCCAGGCTGCTCTCCACCTCCTGGCCTCAAGTAATCCTCCCACCGCGACCTCCCAGAGTGCTGGCATTACAGGCCACGATGTCCGACCAGAAAAGCTATTCTTTAGGGGAGAGGAGAGGAGCGGAATATTCGCCCCCCCACCCAGCTGTCCCATCTCTGTATTATAGGGTAACCTGAGACCCATCTGGGCTGAGGCTGGTGGGAGGTGGGGAGATAAGTCTCCCAGGCAAGGCCTCTGTTGTCAGTGATGAAAAGGGAGTTGGGCTTTGGCGGCAGCCCCTGAGCCCCCGGCGGCTGGAAGCAAGATCGCGAGGTGGGGTGAGTCCTCTCTGCTCCTGGCAAGGTAGCCGCCTGCAGCCCCCTGCATTACCGAATCTGGCTCAGCGCCGAGCGGGGCCGCCAGGGGGCGATGTGAGATCTCAGTTGAAGAGCTAGAGATCGGGAGGGAGAGAAGGGTGGGTAAGGGGAGAGATCCGGAGACACCAAGCCCGAGACCCTAGGCCTGGGAGGGGGTGGGGTGCGTGCCGTCTCCATGGCAACACTTCCTCAAGTCCTAGGGGAACAGAGCTAGCGAGGCGGGAGGGGGGAGGCCTAACCCCTCCCGCGCTGCCCCTGCCCCAGCCCTTTCCGACAGGTACCGCGTGAGGACTCAGGGCAGAGCGCTACCGGGCTCTGGCGGAGACCCCCCCTTACGGAGCGTTGTATGCAAATGTTATTATTTGCATATGCAAATATGCAAATATACCCGCTCTGGTCAAAGCGGCAGGTGGTGAAGAGTGGGAAGGTGTGGGGAAGGGAGCAGAAGGAGACCAGGAGTTTGGGGACCTGAGAACCGACCAGTGAGAGGCAGGCTGGGGTAGTCGCTGGAGTGGAGCAGACAGAGGGGCTTGAGCTTGATGGCGGGTGGGGGAGGGTCGGCCTGGCTAGCCAGGAGCTCCTCTTCTTGTCTGCCCGTTGTCTGCCAGGACTGAGGTTGGCACCGCCTAGCAAGGTTGGCAGCGGGAGTCCAGGCACCATCTGCTGCTGGCGGGGGGGGAGGGCAGAGGCTCAGCTGGGCTAGAGAAGAGGAGGGCCCAGGACGGGCGCCCCCCCTCTTCTTTCCAGAAGACTGGAGGTGTGATGGGGGTGGGTAGGGAAGCCCAAACAAGAAGACTCTGCAAAACCCGGTTCAGTTTTCTGTTCTCATTGCCCTTGACTGTCCCAGACCCCTCAGAAGCAGCAGTGGGTCATAAAGGAAGACCCCCTTTAATCGCAAACGGGACTGGAATAGGAGCAGGTCAGAGGGGTCCGGTGTGCTCACACACACACACACACCAGCCACACACATATCAAGCCTTTGCCCCCATCCTTCCTTAGGATCTGCCTACCAAAAATATGTGAAAGGATGGACTGTGAGTCCTTGGGTAACCTCTGTTCATCAAGGTTTGAGGGACTCAAAGCTGGAGCCCCCAGATCCTGGAGAGGGCCCCCCACAATGCTGAAGCAAAACCAATTTACTGGCTCATTGGGCAGCAATGTTGGTGTGCAGGGTGCCAGTGCCTAAAAACAAGGAGAGAGGCTGCTCTCCCGCTACACTCTGGGGGGGGGGAGCCCCCCTCCCTAGCCTCACCAAGTCGGCAGCTGTCCCTAATTAGAGTGGCGGTTTAATTGGATTTATCAGCAGTTAATAGGAAATTAAGCAAAGGGCCCGAGAGAAGGGAGGTGGGAGGAGCGGGGAGACAGGCTGCGCAGAGCTTGAAGGAGGGGTACTGGGGTACCAGGAGTGGGGACATAAGGCCCAGTGCCGGAGTTGAACCCCATGGTGATGACTTTCCCTCAGTACTCCCTAGGACTGCTGAGCCCTGGCCCAGGAGAGCAGATGTAAGAAGGGAGCTGGTCTTGGAGCCACTGGGTGTGAGCCCCCAGTGCCCTCCATTCCACAAGCAACAGCCTGGGTGATGGATGATACTGCCACATACTGCAAAGGTCATAAGTCTGGGCCAAGGAGTAGACTGAATTGAGAATAGATGGAGGAAGGGCCAGTGTACTAGGCTACAAGACACAACCTGCACCACCTCAACCCCCTCCACTGTCCACTCCACTCTTGGCAAAAAAGGAGTGGGCTGTGAGGTTGTTAAGATTTGCCAATATTGGGAGCAAGGTAGGGTAAAGAGGGACCCTGTCTTCAACCTCCCATCAGTCATGTTGGGAATCTTGGGAATCTCCCAGGGCAGCACCAATGTTCCTCTTATGGCTCCTCCTCCCCCAAACTGCTAGAGTTGGGGCTGGTGGGGCCTGCTAGGTCTGCTGCTCAGGGGGTGCTCGTGGTCCTGCACCTGCCCTAGAGGCAGGGAAGCAAGCTTACAGGCCGTCAAGTGGGAACCACAGGCCTCTGAGTCCACAGCCCCAGGCGTCTCCTGTCACTGCAACCTTATTATACTGCCAGGCTAACAAGGCCTGCTTTCCAGACCCTGATGACCTCTCGGCACACTCAGCACTCCAGGGCATGGATGGCAGTTCCTGCACACATGTGATCCTCTGAGTGGGTGGAGTGGTCAGGGCTCTCTGTGCTCCTGGCAATTATGGGTGTCTGTACCCCTGATGTGTGGTATGTGTGTGTCTTTCTGTACCCTGGGTGTGCAAGGTATGTATGATTAAGTCTGTGCCTTGGTTGTATGTCTGTGCCTCCAAAGATGCCTATGTCGGTTTTGTCCATTTTTCTGCTACCCCATCCATCTCTATGTTTTCTGTCTGTCTAAGCCCCAGAGCATCCAGGTTTCTGAGGGTGCATGTGTGCTTTGGTGAGTCTACATATCTGTGCGCTCTTTAGGCCTGGGTGTGCCCCCACATGGGGGCGTTTCCACGTGTCTCTTCTTGCAGGACTGTGTATGTGTGAAATAAGGAAGAACCACTGGTGAGTGTGTTGTTCTCACGTCTCTGCCTGCAGGTATGTGTGTCTCGGTGACAGTGCGTGGGCGTGTGCCTGGGTGTGAGCCGCGCAGCGGCGTGTATCCGAATGACAGTGTGACGCGCGCGCCTGGGTGAGTCTCCCGCCCCCACTCCTTCCTTTCCCCATTTCTATTCCTCTCTCCTCTCTGGGCCGGCTCGGCTCCGCCGTCCGCATCATCTCCATCCATTATTGAAGAAACAGCCGCGTCCGCTCCAATCACATCAACACCCCCGCCCCCTCCCTGTTCTGCTAGCCCCATGGCCCCTCCGGGTGCCGAGGAGAGGGAAAGCCAAAGTGTGGCGGGAGCGCCGCATGGCAGCGGACTTGTGACCCTGTGCCCGGAGCTGCGCCGGGCACCGGGACGCTGGGGTCCCCGGCGGAGAGCGCTTTGCATAAACAGATGGCGCGGGCCTCTTTGTCTCGCTCGCTCCCTCGCTTGCTGCGCAGCTCCCAGCTCGGCTTCTGTCTGGCTGATGCAATCATGATCATCTCAGAGCCTCGGGACCCGGCGCCCTTAATAGCGGCAGAGGGGGTCAGGGGCCCCGCGGCTCCCGAGCAGATGCTGGGCACTGTCTTCCCTCCCAGGCGCCCCCCTCCAAGTCCCACAGCTGCAGCAGGAGGAACGAGGCTGTAGCCGAGGTGACAGACATGTGGAGGTGACCTGGGGCAGTGCCCCGAGGTGTCCGCGGGCTGTCCTGTCGGACTACTGCAGTTCCTCAGGGGCAGCAAACCAGAGAGTAGGAACAGAGGTGGGGAGTGGAGTGTGGGGGAGACAAAGAGAGGCATTTGTAAAGAGAGACACACGGGGGTAGAGAGATGCAGAGGGAAGGAGAGACACAGAGACACAGATACCGAGGGACAAAGCCATGTAGAGAGAAGAGCAGAGGGGCAGCCAGACAGACATAGCCGGAATGGTAAGGAATTGAGGGACATACCCAGACAGACAGAGACAAACAGAGATAGACAGACAGACCGCCTGACGGAGAAAGAGGCAGAAAGAAGGGAAACCGAGGCTACAGCCGGAAGGTCAGAAGACCGAGGGCAGTTGAGAGTTCGCAGCCCCAGGGCTGAGACAAGACTCCCGGCACCTGAAGCAGCCCAGCTCCGCAAGAGGAACCAGCCTGAGCCATGGGTTCTGCCTGTGGCTGGCGAGGCAGAAGCTTCCGGCATCCCCTCTCCGCCCTCCCTCTCCACCTCACACCTGAGGAGTGGAGGCTGCGGGACCCACCGCCTCGGCGGCGGGAGGCGGGAGTGGCCTGGATGGTGGGTTGGGCCCACCTCGGGCGCGGACTCACCCTGCCCTGGCGCCGCGAGTGCAGGGCCAGTACCATCCCGCAGGGGGCGCCCGAGGCCTCTCCCGAGCTCAGCCGCCGCTCGGCCTCCAGAGGGCGCCCGCGCCCCGACCCCTGCAGCCCTCTCGCGCCATGGAGTTCAGCTGCGTTTGCCGCGCACCACTTGCGTGAGGACTAGCATCCCCGCGCGGTTTAGTGCGCAGAGTCTCAGGTTCTGGAAAGTGCGGGGAAGAGAGACGAGATCTGTAACCCAAAGAGTTCTGGGTCCCAGATGGGTTTCAAAGGCCACAGTGCAGAGGCAGGTACCGAAGATGGGAAGGGGGTTAGAAATAGACTCACAAACACTGAGACCAGAAACACGTCAAAGGTCGAGGCGTCGGGAGGAGGCAGCCCCAGACGCAGTAATGTAATATAGCAGGTCTGAGACGGAGCGACGACGCAGGCCCTAGCTGAAGAAATAGCAGTGGCTTTAGGAGGCCAGTAGGACAGAGGGTCTGAGACACGCCAGGCCCAGGTCACCAGAACTCAGAAAAAAGGCCACAGGGAGGCGGGCAAGAGCCCAACAATAAAAGGGCGGGCACTAGGGCCAGGCCTCCCCCCAGGCGTCCAAGCTCCCCAGCTGTGCCACAGAGAACCAGATGTGCAGCCCAGCTGTGCTGGCCACTCACTTGAGCTCCGGGATTGATTTTTAAGTCCTGGAGACTAGAGTCCCAGGGTGCACAGGTGACAGGACACCCCCTCCCTGGCCTAGCCCTCGAGGTGCAGAAGCTTAGGGAGGGCTCTGCGTAGCTGGAGGCTCTGACATCCCATCAGCTCCCTCCTCCGCCCCTCACACACGAGTCGCTGCGAGTCTCTGTCTCTTTGTTCTCGCGGAGTCTCTGACACTTTATCTCATTATCCGCTGAAGGGAGGTGGAAAGCCTGGGACCCCGCAGCCTAATTACAGCCGCGCTTGTCAGCGCCAGGGGCGGAGGAGGTATCCTCACGCGGGAAAGGAGGGGTCCCCAGGAAGTGCACTCTCCTTTCCTGTACCTGGAGGGGCCCCACGGCAGGTTCACTACTTGCCCCTGCTCGAGCCCTCCACAGGGCGGGTTCTGGAGGGAAGAAGGGACAGATAGGCAGGATTCGTCTGTGGATGCAGGAGAGAGGGAAAGGGGCTGTTAAGGCTCGGTTCCGGCATCCCTAAAACCCCAGTTCCCCAAAGACTGAAGCTGTGAGCCTTCCCACCCTGGCAGCATAGTGTACACCTGAGTTAGCTGAGTAAAGAGAGGCAATTCTGTCTCTGTGTCTTGTTATCTTTCCTACTTCAACATCTTTTACATCTCAACTATCTTCCTCACTCTGTTCTCTTCCTCTAGCCCACAGCCAGAGGCAGACAGTGCCTCCTTGAGGGGCTGCACCCTCCCCCTACCCCAGGCAGGCAAGACAAGCCTTCCAAGTCTCCCAAACCCCCAAATTGCAACAACCAACTTACTCCATTCTAGGCCAGAATTAAGATATACCATTTTCTTCTCCCTTTGGCCACCACTATTCCTATTCAATCTTCAATCGCCACTTGGAGAACCAGCTCAGGACAAGAGAGGCTGGGGCAGCTTTAATGATGTGGGACTATCCTTTCACTACACTGTGGAGGGGGCAGAACCAAAGTTTTCAGGACCTGCTTGTCCTGGATGGCTCTGGGGTCTCAGGGAAGTGCTGCCCACGTCCTCACTGGCCCCTGGCCCCTCCTGTCTCCACCTGTGAACACACCACAGGTATATTTTGCTGGGGGTCTATCTGCTTGCCTGTCCCAGAGTCACCCCTCCTCCTACATCTGGATGCTTCCTCAGTCAGTCACTGGGTCCTGTGCCAATGAGGCCAAAAGCCCAAGTATGCTGGTGTCTCAGGCCAGGTGCAGGTATCTGGAGGAGAGAGTCAGAGAACAGATACCTCTTGGCTCCCGCATAACACCCAACACCCGTTTGGTTTTGGGCCAGGAATTGAGGGAGGAAGCCAGCTAAGTGGCAGTAGATGAGTCCAGAGGAGCAGTTCTGGGCTGGGCTCAGGGCTGGGCCAGGCTGGGCTGATCCCTCCCCAGCCAGGGGCGGGACCCCAAGAGGAGGGAGAGAGGGAGCCAGTGGAGAGACACTGGAGAGACAACATGGCAGGAACCAGTCTCAGCCGCTTCTACAAGCAGATCAAAAGACATCCAGGGGTGAGTTTGGGCCTCAGAGCCACTGATTCTAACTCCTAACTCTCTTACTGACCTCAACACTCCTAATCTTCTCCCAGGTTGCCTTCGATCTACCCCTGCAATATGCTCCCATGTCCCTCATCTACCTTGCACAGGTTTACTAGAGAGTGAGGGACACTACAGCAGAAAATATAGTTGTAGGAGGTTCCAGAGGGCCCCTCTCCCGCTCTCCTAGAAGGGAGGGAACGCAGGGTGGGGGGAGTGCAGAGAATCTTGTGAAGGGCCACTGGGAACCCCAAGGAGGGAGCTAAAAAGCTGAAAATTTCCTCTGTCTTCCTGCAGCTCATCCCAATGATCGGCTTCATTGGCCTGGGCATGGGCAGCGCTGCTCTTTACTTACTACGACTTGCCCTGCGCAGCCCGGACGTCTGGTAAAGGGTGGGCTTGGATGGGGTCCTTGGCGGGGCAAGATGGGTTGGAAACCGAGGCATCTCTGTGTGGAAATCCCTAGCAGGATCCCCAGACTATGCACCTCTGATTTCACCACTGACATCTCAGAGCTAGAGCCCACTGCTGACCTGGGAGACTCTCCCCTCCACTCCAGAGCTACCTGCTCACTCCTCCTCCATGGCTCAGGACTTGGCCAGCTTGGGGCTTCAGAACCCCTGGGGCTCTGGCCTGGTTGCCATGGCCACACTGCTCTGCTGGCAGCCTCAGGCTTTTGGGTACTTCTGTGTCCCACTAGAGCACTGGAGGTGGGGCCAGGTGAGCTGCTGGGGGTACTGTTGGGGCTCAGTGTGGTGCAGAGACTTCTTCCCTGGCCAGAGTTGGCAGGAGTGGGGGGGTCTCCTGGCCATGGAAAGGCACACCACCTTTGACATTACATCACTGAAACTCCAGCCCCCCCAGTTCTGCCTGAATCCTGTGACACTGCTCTTCATGGTTAACCTAGGGTGGCAGGCAGCATGTTTTATCCCTGGGCTGGGTGGTTAGTTTGTTGCCTGGCTCCACAGACAGTGGTGACAGGTTTCTTGTATGGCTTGTCTGCACCCAATAGGCTAACACCTTCCCTGTCAGTCTCTGGGAAATAGACCCTCTGGGAAGGAGACAGACAGGGGCACTGGGGGTGGGCAGAGACCCTGGGATTAACAGTGGGTTCCACAGTGCTGGCTCCCAGGAATAAGACTTTAACCCTCCCCCTCTGCCTCACAGCTGGGACCGAAAGAACAACCCAGAGCCCTGGAACCGCCTCAGCCCCAATGACCAGTACAAGGTACTGTCCAGTGGCTGTAGTTTGCTCCCCCATCCTTTTATCTCCTGGTCCCTGGACCTGCCCCTTCTACATTAGGGGTAAAGGGAGACTTGGGGTACTGGGTGCAACCCCCGCTCCCTCTCCTCATAGTTCCTTGCCGTGTCCACTGACTATAAGAAGCTGAAGAAGGACAGGCCAGACTTCTAAGCCAGCCTGGACTGCAAGTATGATGCAAACCACAGCTGACCAGCCAGCCCACTCATTCCTTCCACTCCTCCCCTCAGACCCCAGGTGTCAGTCTGGCCACCCTGTCCAACTCCTGCTTACCCAGGCTGGTTCCCACGCAGAGGGGAGGCAGCTCTACCCCCACCCTCCTCCCCTGCTCCCAGCAGCAGCAGCAGCAGCAGCAGTAGCAACGGAAGCACCTCTGACCCTTGGCTGGAGTCCCACAGGGAGGAGGAGTCAGGAGGGCAGGCAGCAGCAGGGGTCGAACCGAACTGAAAAGAAACCAGCCCCTCTGCCCTCCTACCCAGGCCTCACAGGGTGTGGACAGGCTACGTGTTGAGCGTGGCTAACGTGAGCCAGCAGGAAGCAGAGGCCTCTGAGTGCCAAGCGACGTGGCGGGACTCACATTAGCTCAGGCTTTGGGCGCCAGCCCAGGGGAGGCACTGCTCCACTCAGGGCTGTCTAGGGCCACCCAGCCTGCCCAGGTGGGAACACCTATGCTTCCAGAGAGGGAACTTGCTCTACCCTGCCCAAGGCTACTGCCTCCCACACAGAGGATGGCACCCCGCTGCCTCACACCTGGGCCTCCCCCTGCCACTCCTCACCCTACCCCTCCCTTGCTCCCGTCTGTCCCCTGGGATCAAACAGAAGCAGCCGTGGGCAAAATACAATTTCATTTAACAAATTGAATTTGCTGCGCCTGCTAATCACGTCTGGTGTTGGCTCTGATCACAGAGAGAGGAGGCTGTAGCCCCGGGGGTCCTACTGGTGGTGGGAGGGAAGGAGGTACAAGTGAGGGGGATGAGGCACTGCTTAGCCCAAGGGACCCCTCCCACAGTAACAGAAACTCAGGGCAGGTTCGCATTTTATTAGATAAAAAAAGGAAGGAGGGTGTCTACCCACCCCTTCCACTGGCTCAGAAGGGTACTCCTCCTCCCCCAAAGAGAGTAGGAGTTTGTAACACTGCAGAGATCATGGCAGAGGTATAGAGCACAGAGCTCCTGGGCCCTCCTTCTAAGTCTTGTTACTAAAAAAAAAAGTCTCAGCTACAAATTCTGGGAAGAGGGACTATACTTCACCCTTGCTCTAAGTGGGGGGCCTTTCCTCCTCCATAAAAAAAGAAAGGTTTTCCCTTCCACTGGCCCAGGGGGGCCGGTAGAGTAACATCCAGTCCGTGGGCCTCATCTCCCAGGTGTCTTCAGTGCTCATCAAAACCTGGCATGGGGAAGGCTCTGGCAAACTGCTCCACCCGTTGCCTAAGGTCAGCCAGACGCTGACTTGTTTCTGGGTCTTTAAGCAGGAAGGACTTGAAATCCTGGAGCTTGGCTAGAAAGGGGTAAGAAAGAAAAGTGGTCAGACAAAGCTCTGGGGAAGGCAGTGAGAGCAGTGGGGAGGGGGCAGACAGTGAGTGGGAAGTGGCTGGCATGGGGATATTTCTTGCCCCACTCACCAGTCTTCCTCTTTACGTCCAAGCCAATGTTGACCCCTTCATCTATAAAGTCTACAACTCTCCGGAAGTCATCTTCACGGAACTGTCGAGAGGTCAAGGCTGGGGCCCCTGTGAAAGGCAGAAGAGGGAGGATTAGCATGGCCCAAGCCCACCTGCAGCTGGTCAGTGCAGCTGCAGTGGTTTCCCTCGTCAAACCCCAGGTCTCACCAAGCCGCAGGCCTCCTGGTGTGATGGCACTTCGGTCTCCAGGACAAGTATTCTTATTGGCAGTTATGGATACAAGTTCCAACACGCGCTCAACCCGAGCTCCATCCAGGCCCTTGGGCCGCAGGTCCACCAGCACCAGGTGGTTGTCAGTGCCACCTAAGGGTGACAGTAAGTGGGGACTAAGTAAGTCCTGGGCCTCTGCCTGTAGTTACAGAGGTGTCACCCATGCCCCCAGCTCACCAGACACCAAGGAGTAGCCTCGCTCTAGCAGGGCATCAGCCATGGCCCGAGCATTCTTCAGAACCTGCAGTGAGTACTCCCGGAACATGGGCATGCAGGCCTGAAGGTGACACAGCAGCATCTGTGACCCCAGCCTTGACCCCTCCCATCCTGGCATTTCCAGTCCATCAGCGCCAACATAAGTTAGCAAGCTGTGGGTCCAAGCCTCCAGGCCAATGTCCCCCACCCACCACACAAGGGCAAGCTCGTCAACCTGCTTCAGGGCCACAGCTACTGCAGCAATGGCATGGTTGTGGGGACCCCCCTGCAGGGACGGGAACACAGCAAAGTTGACTTGGTCCTCAAATGTGTAAGGGATCTCCCGGCCAGTCTTGGGGTCTACAGCCCGTACCCCCTTCCGGTAGAAGATGAGTCCTGACCTGTGTGGGAGGTGGGTAGTCAGACCCTAAGTTGAAAATAAGAAGGGGGGATGGGGAAAGTAGAGGAAGCTGGCTGGCCAGGGCCCCCAAGGAACCACCTTGCAGTCCATCTCAGTTGTCTTGCACACTGGATGCCAGTGGTAGGGGCATCGGGCCTGTCACACCCATCCCCAAATCCCCTGCCAGAAAATGGCCACCATAAGCAAGAGAGGGAGAATCATCACAGACTGGGGAGGAGCTTTCAGGGTTGCAGGTAAGAATGAATTCCTCTCTGATCCAGCCCAACGGTGCCCCAGGGAACAGACACTGAAGGCAGGGATAGGCAGAGCCCAATCTTAGGAGATCCTGACCTGGCCCCTCGAAGAGTCTTGTGAGTGGTGGTAGTGACAATGTCTGCATGCTTGAAAGGTGAGGGGATCACCTTGGCAGCCACCAAGCCACTGATGTGGGCCATGTCTGCCAGTAGGTGTGCCTTGACTTCATCACACACCTGGCAGGTACAGAGATAGGCCTCAGCCTGAGAAGGGCCCAGACAGGCCAATCTAGGGCTGCCTGTCCTCCAAACCTCCTGGCCACTTCCAGGTGCCCAGTACTCCAACCCCCTACCAACCTCTTTCATGCGGGCATAGTCAATGAGACGGGCATAGGCGCTGGTGCCAGCTATGATGAGGCGGGGTCGGAAAAGCCGAGCAGTCAGTGCCAACTGGTCATAGTCGATGAGGCCAGTTTTGGGCTGGACAGACAGATTAAAAACAGTTACAGCTGACCAGGTACGGTGGCTCACACCTATAATCCCAGCACTCTGGGAGGCTGAGGTGGGTGGATTGCTTGAGCTCACAGGTTCAAGACCAGCCTGAGCAAGAGACCCCCATCTCTAAAAATAGCCAGGCATTGTGACAGGTCCAGCTACTTGGGAGGCTGAAGCAAGAGAAATGCTTTAGCCCAAGAGTTTGCGGTTGCTGTGAGCTGTGATGCCATGCACGGCACTCTCTACTGAGGGTGACAAAGTGAGATTCTGTCTCAAAACAAAAACAAACAAACAAAAAAACCCAACAGTGAAAGCCCCAAGAAGGAAGCAGGGCAGTTCACTCTCCTCCTTGATGCTGAGGGCCAAGCCCTTCACCTTCCCCAGGAGAGGACCACCAGGGCCTGAACAGTCCCTCCCCACAAGCTAGAGCACTCACATTGAGCTTATAGGGCATAGACTCGAAGAAGATGGATGTGGCTGAGACCCGCTTGACGTCAGACATGTAGCCATGGGTGAGACTGCAAGTGAGAGGAGGTAAGCAGACCTCAGAGTGGAATAAACCCCAGATTTGACCATTCTCTTCCTGCCAAACTCCATAGGCCTCTGTCCTGGAACACTGGTCCTAGTGTTCACCATATCACTGCCCCATCCACTCTGTGATGGGCACTGATGTTGCTGTCACTTGCAGGACAAGGAGAGGCCTGTTCCATCTGTGTGATCTGCAGCAGGTACTCAATAAGCAACTGTTTTTCAGGGCAGTTCTGCCTATCACGTCCATCATCCTTCCCATCCATACTCACTGGCCTCCATCAGGCAGGTCCAGCCCCATGATTCGGTCATGAGGCTGCAGAAGGGCTGTATAGGCAGCCAGATTGGCTGGGGTCCCAGAGTAGGGCTGGACATTGACTCCCCACTGTGCAGGATCCAGGTCAAAGGCCTCCAAGGCCCGGCGCTGGCACAGCAGCTCGATTTCATCCACTACCTCTGTTCCCCCATAATATCTGCCATGCGAAAGGGGTACATAAGAGCACACAGAAAGGACTCACAACCAGCAGAAAACAACTAGCAAGGCCCCTCATCACTAAATACCAGAAGGGTATAGATAAGTTTCCCCCACTGGGAGTACCATCCCTGATGCTGCCCTCCATCCCTCAGGTACCTGGCCCTCACCTCTTGCCAGGATAACCCTCTGAGTACTTGTTGTTCAGACAGGACCCCAGGGCCTCCAGCGCAGCTCGGCTGCAGAAATTCTGGAGTTCGGGGGACAATGTCAGAAAGCACTGAGCCCCTTCCCCTGGACTCCCATCATCCCACCTTTCAGAGCCCCACAGGCTGTAACAGGGAGCCATGCTCCGCAGAAAGCTCTGTTCACTTAGGGGTCCTGGCCTAAAGCAGGGCCAGAGGCAGCATTCTTAGAAACCCAGCTGCCATGAGGAATGTCCCAGCAAGACCACCTGCCCACTCAAACTTGTGCTTCCAGGTTCTTCTTTCCTCTTCGGACAGAGGAAGGGATCAGGTGCGTTAGGTGCCCTGGAGGCTCCCCAAAGCCCAACCCCATAAGCTGGACTGGCCCTGGCTTTGCTTCAGAGGACAGCAAAAAGAAAGGATGATAAGGCCCAACAGTAAGGCTCTGAGTCCAAAAGAAAGATCTGGAGAAACATCAGTAAGATTACTTGTTACTTCCTGCATTTGCAGTGGACCAACCCCTGCCCCCTCTCCCCAGGTCCCACCTCCGAGGCAATGAGCTCCAGGCCACGACACTGCCTGTCCTTCTCCCTCTGCAGCAGCTCCCACATCTCAGGATCACTGTCTGAGAGACTCTCCTGGCCAGTCCATCTTCTGGTTGCTTCCCCAGTCTGAGTCTGGGCTGCTTTGCTGTGCTGAGCCCGAGCAGCCATCCTGGCCAGTTGACCACATCTCCGCAGAGGCTAGAGGCAGGAAAACCAGGGTCAAATGAAAATAGTCCAGACAAATAGTCCTCCAATCACCTTCTGCCATGCTTCTCAAGCCTTCTGAGCTCCACTGAGCAGCTCGTTATTCCCCCAACCTGTTCCACCTCTCACCACCCCCACCTCTACCTTTAAAAGTCAGTTCTAAAGATCAATGTCCAAGGGGTGGTTCTGATTTGCTCCACTCACCTCAACTCAGAAACTTCCATCTA